AGTTCATGAGTTACTTTCCTCCTCATTTTTCCTCTTATTTTTTTCTGCCTGGAGATTTTATCCGTAATTATTTTCCTCCTGGTCATTGTTCAGTAATGTCATGCTTAAGAAATAAACCCTGCTGGAATTCATTAGAAACATATCTTCCCAGTGACAATTTCTGTTTATAATTTCATGTGGAGGCTAATTTAACTAAGTTAACTAATACTTTCTTTGTATTGCTTCATTTCCCAAATATAACAGCATTCAAAGCTCAGATAAATGCTTTGCCTATTTTGACAAGCTACATTTTTTGTAAAACCCATAGTAATCATCATTAATTACATCTCACTTGGATTCTCCAGTTCTTGAACTGGATTTATGCCTTTTGAGAAAGGAGATGTGATAGGGCCATTTTGTTTACCTTTTTTTTTGTATTTGCACAGGAATATCTTCTGGAACTTCCTCAGTTGTAAGACTTGTTGGCTACTTGGAGCAAGCTTTGGCCAGCTGTTCTAAAACTCATACAATTTATACAGACCTACTTACTTTTGAAAGTTCTCATGGAGCTGTTCGGGACTCTGAGAAGATGATTACAATTAGAAAACCAGGCATCATTCTAAATATATACTATGTCTTTAACTCAGTAAAATCAGTATTACTTATGCCTCCTCTTTGTTACTGCACAGAAATATTTGTGAGCTTCTGGTTTTAAAGGGTGTCATGGTTTAAACCCAGCCAGACAGCTTGTTCACTCACTCCCCCTCCTTCTTGCCCTCCCCCTACTCCTGGAGGGACGGAGAGGAGAATCGAAAAGAATGCAACTCCCACGTGTTGAGATAAGAACGGTTTAGTAACTAAGGTATAACACAAATCACTACTGCTACCACCAATAATAGTAATGATAAAGGAAATAACAAGGGAAGAGAATACAACACCTCAGCACCAGCTGACCGATAACTTGTCCCCCCAGCCCAACCAAGCACCGACCGATACCTTCTCCAACCCTGCAGTCGCTCGTCTTTCCGGGTCACTCTACATTACATCCTGGGCATGATGTGCTGTGGTATGGAATACCTCTTTGGTCAGTTTGGGTCAGGTGTCCTGTCTCTGCTTCCTCCTGGCTTCCCCTCCTCCCTGGCAGAGCATGAGGCTCACAAAGTCCTTGGCCAAACCAAAACATCATTGTTATCAGCTCTGCTCCCAGGCTGAAAGTCAAAACACAGCACTGCACCAGCTACCAAGAAAGAGAAAAAAGGCTGCTACTGCTAAACCCAGGACAAAGGGGCACTGTAAAAAAGCCAGGGTTCATTCAACTTACAAGGCTGTTTCAAACTGAGATTGCCCCAGGGTTATCTGTTGTATAGTCATGTTTCTGTACACTGTAAAGTACATTGGAAATTGAGATGCCCAAACTGTCCAGGTGATCTGTGGTTTTTGTGGTCATTCCATTTAATGCACAGCAAAGTGAACCAAGCAAAGATGCCTTTTACTATGAGAAAGGACTATATAAATCCTCAAAGTTTTATCCAGTAAGAGGACATAATTAAATTTCAAATCAGAAAGGAAAGTTGGCAGAGTGGGGGTATTGAGAAAACGTATGATAATTATCTAAGAGACAATTTTAGTTTTATATGGTTTTATGAAGGGGAAGTCATGTTTGACCAACCTTATAGCCTTCTATGAGGAAGTGACTAGGTGGAGGGATGACGGTAGAGCAGTAGATGTGGTTTTTCTTGATTTCAGTAAGGCATTTGATACTGTCTCCCACAGCATTCTCATAGATAAGCTAAGGAAGTGTGGGTTTTACGATCAGGTAGTGAGGTGGATCAAGAACTGGTTGGAAGGAAGAAGGCAGAGAGTTGTCATCAATGGTGCAGAGTCTAGCTGGAGGTCTGTGACTAGTGGAGTCCCTCAGGGGTCGGTGCTGGGACCAGTGCTGTTTAATATTTTCATCAACAACCTGGATGAGGGAACCAAGTGTATTCTCAGCAAGTTCGCTGATGACACTAAACTGGGAGGAGTGGCTGACACACCAGAAGGCTGTGCTGCCATTCAGCGAGACCTGGACAGGCTGGAGAGTTGGGCGGGGAGAAATTTGATGAAATTCAACAAGGGCAAGTGTAGAGTCTTGTATCTGGGGAAGAACAACCCCATGTACCAGTACAGGTTGGGGACTGACCTGCTGGAAAGTAGCGAAGGGGAAAGGGACCTGGGGGTCCTGGTAGATAGGAGGATGAACATGAGCCAGCAATGTGCCCTTGTGGCCAAGAGGGCAAATGGCATCCTGGGGTGCATTAGAAAGGGTGTAGTTAGTAGGTCAAGGAGGTTCTCCTCCCCCTCTATTCTGCCTTGGTTAGGCCACATCTGGAATATTGCATCCAGTTCTGCGCCCCTCAGTTCAAGAAGGACAGGGAACTGCTTGAAAGAGTCCAGCGCAGAGCCACAAAGATGATTAAGGGAGTGGAACACCTCCCTTATGAGGAGAGGCTGAAGGAGCTGGGTCTCTTCAGCTTGGAGAAGAGGAGACTGAGGGGTGACCTCATCAGTGTTTACAAATATGTAAGGGGTGGGAGTCAGGAGGGTGGAGCTAGGCTTTTTTCGGTGATATCCAGTGATAGGACAAGGGGCAATGGGTGTAAACTGGAGCATAGAAGGTTCCACGTTGACATCAGGAAGAACTTCTTTACTGTGAGAGTGACAGAGCACTGGAACAGGTTGCCCAGGGGGGTTGTGGAGTCTCCCACATTGGAGATATTCAAGGCCCGCCTGGACAAGTTCCTGTGTGATGTACTCTAGGTTACCCTGCTCTTGCAGGGGGGTTGGACTAGATGATCTCTTGAGGTCCCTTCCAACCCTTGGGATTCTGTGATTCGAAAAAAAAATCTGTGCTAATGAAACATTGATTGGCGTATTATTTTCATATTTTTTAAAGTGGAGAGTTAAGAATAAAACAGGTTAAATTGCTGGTATAATATTTAAGTCACATTTTGAGGGATTTTTAATTAGTAATTTTTATTAAAGAAAAATTATGTTTTTCCTGTAGCATATTTGAATTGTCTTAAAAGGTCAAGGGAAGTTATTGGCCAAAATGCCTGTAAACAAGTGATAAAGTTTTTGAGTTTTTATTTTCTATAATTACTTTTTATTATAAAAAGATGCTTATAAGATGACCCTCCTCAGTTAAAATAAAGGGATCCAGATAGCCATTAAAATGTATTAAAAGTATACTCTGAATATGTGAGAAATGTTCTTCAAGATAAATAGGAAAGGAAGAGGATGCAAGGGCTGTATTCATATGGTACTGAAATGAGGCAAAATTAGAAGATATGTTAGAAAAACATTACAAAAACTAGAAGTTATGTTAGATTTGCTTGACTTTTGACTGGTTGTTTTTTCACTAGTGAGTTGTCATGTCTGGCTAATGACTGCAGTGTTCTAGCTGTTGAAATGTAATACCAGTATTTAGATTTAAGTTGATTTTGAGAATGGCATAGAGTGGTTTAGGTGGGCTGCTTTGTTCGGGTTGGTTTGTTTGGTTTCTGTTTTAACTAACTTGTGAAGCCTGTGATACTGTATCAGCTCACGTGATACAGTAATCAGTAGTAAACTGTCTGGATAGGTTATGTTAATATATGAGGTTAATGGGATTAATTATAAATTTATGTTTAATTACTAAAATTTTCAAGAAGTGTGCTTTCAAAATAGGAGTAAAATTGGGAAGAAGGGAAAAGCAGGTTAATTACGTGCTTTTAGGGTGGTTTGTAAAACCACTTAATAGTTTGCCATGAATAGAGCTGCCTACGAGCAAAATGAAATGAAATAAAATAGATGGAGTCAGTCATATTCTGTAAAGCAAACCCTCAGTTATCACTTGAATAATCAATTAAAATGAGGGGTTTAGGCATTTGTGGAGGAGTTATCAGTTGGATCACAATCAGGTAATTTAGTATTCTTTCTTAAAGATAGGTGAGCACCCTTGCTGATGTCCCAGACTCTTTATGCCACCGAAAGTAATTGTATTCACTGGCTCTTTATATACTTGTACTGATAGTGAATTATGTGCTCAATTATACTTGAGTAGGAGTAAGTTTGAGGACAGTGTGCTCAAACATACAGCTGTTAAGCAGAGATCCCAACTCCTCTGGCCATCAGTGAGCCATCATCCTTATTCATGCTTCTAAAAATAGCATTCTAGGCTGTAAAAGACTTTCAAAGAAAAGGGCTGGTAACAGAGCAAAATACAGAACGATTCTGTATCTCTGGTAAGAAAGTTCCCCAAATTCATGACACTTAACTGTTGCCAGTAGCAAATGTTAGGTATTCTGCTTACTTTAGATGCACTGTTCCCAAGAGAAAGACAGGTCAGCTCGAGCTGCTAGAAAAGGAGATAAGAAAGGATGGAAAATGCGTTGAATAGAACACATAACCTCACCCAGTCATGTGTCTAGCTGTGTTGCGAACTGTTATGAAATAAATCTTGAGAATATGGTAGAAGAAATCAAATATTTCTTAGGTGTTGACAGCTGCAGCACTTTCACCTGTTTAAAATAACTGATTTCCTTAGAGAATATGGGAAGTTCCATATGGAAGTACCCTGTATGCATGTGTACAGAAGTGAGTGTAGAAACAGTGGGATGTGGAAAGCATAAAAGTGTTCACTGCTCAACAACCATGCAGTCGGCAAACTGTCTGAAGGTGTTAACGTTTCTCCTGTTCTCCTAGAAGTCTCAAGCAAAAGCTTAAATTAAGTGCATAAACAGCAGATAAAGGTTTCAAGAGAATCAGCTAAGTAGTTTTAATTTTTTTCCTGAATTACAATAATATGGGTTAGTGTGCAGTCAGAAATGCTGTTCTGTGCCTGTGACTTTGGAAATGGTTGATGTTTGTAAGAGCTTTCTGAAGGAAGAGACAAGATCAGGTGGAAGGAGTTAAGAAGTAATGAGAAGCAGTTAAAATAAATTCCAACATAAAGAAAACTTAGTATTAATGTGATTGCTGTTCTGTTTTTCATGTTATAGTTTGCAAGGCATATCAAGAAATCTGAAGGCCAGAAGACACCCAAAGTTGAATTACAAATCTCAATCTATGGTGTAAAAATTCTAGATCCAAAAACAAAGGTGAGAGACTTCTATGTTTATTTTGCTAAACCAGTAATTAAATACTGTTTTAAAGGTTTTTAATGTTTTTATCATTTTATGTTTTAAGTATTATAGTGAAAGCAACTGTGGGTTGGAACTAGATGAGGTCCTTTCCAACCCTAACCATACTATGATTCTATGGAAAATTCTTCAAAAATACCGTTTCTTACTACAAGACATGGGTGACATCCCAGTTACATCGTATTCCAAAATACAGACTATAGCTAACGTGCGATTTAATTTTTTTAATCCTTTCGCACCAAAACTTTTAAACTCTGAGGATGATAGAAATACTGTGATAAATAGATGCTAATACCGCATATAATAAACACGTTTCCAGATGGTGAATGAGGAGACAGTTTGTTTTCAGTGACTCATTCTTCATATCGCTGCCTTGGAATCGCACCTCTCTTTCCTTAACATGCTAATTTTTCCCCTTCGTTTGTTGCTTTTAATTATTATTTTTTAAGTTGTATCTACCCTCCCTAGAATGTGTACATTTCTCAAGTGTGTTACCCATTTCTATATAAACTTCATGTAGCAGGCTGTAAGCACTACTGTAGGCTTTTCATCTGGCACAGCATGAGAATTCCCACCTTTTCAACAGTTTGGTCCATTAAGTCATCCCATTGATGGGTTGCATAGTATGCAAAAGATGTTCCTCACTAAATCAAAGAGGAATAAATAAAGAGATAAATATAATCAAGCTAAGAAGTATTTATTCAATAGTCAGCAATTCTTAACATCTGAATGCTCTTGTATCTTTTACACATAGGGTGAATGTTGGATTTGCATAAACTATTTGCTACCGCTTCTTAATTGTAGAGTAATTGCTGCCATTCAGACAGTGGTATCTTAAGAAAAGGTAGAGGAAGTTTAGTTCAAGGCTACATATATATTTGTAATCCATTTACATAGAATCATAGAATACTTAGTGTTGGAAAGGACCTTAAGATCATCAAGTTCCAACCCCCCTGCCTTGGGCAGGGACACCTCGCCCTAAACCATATTACCCAAGGCCTCGTCCAACCTAGCCTTGGACACTGCCAGGGATGAAGCATTCACAACCTCCCTGGACAACCTATTCCAGTGCCTCCCTACCCTAACAGGAAAGAATTTCCTCCTTCTATCCAATCTAAACTTCCCCTGTTTAAGTTTTAACCTGTTACCCCTTGTCCTACCACTACAGTCCCTAATGAAGAGTCCATCCCCAGCATCCCTATAGGCCCCCTTCAGATACTGGAAGGCTGCTATGAGGTCTCCACGCAGCCTTCTCTTCTCCAGGCTGAACAGCTCCAACTTTCTCAGCCGATCTTCATATGGGAGGTGATCCAGTCCCCTTATCATTCTCGTGGCCCTCCTCTGGACTTGTTCCAACAGATCCATGTCCTTTTTATGTTGAGGACACCAGAACTGTACACAATACTCCAAGTGAGGTCTCATGAGAGCAGAATAAAGGGGCAGGATCACCTCCTTCAACCTGCTGGTCACGCTCCTTTTGATGCAGCCCAGGATACAGTTGGCTTTCTGGGCTGCAAGCGCACACTGCTGGCTCATGTTCATTCTCTCATCGACCAGCACCCCCAAGTCCTTCTCCACAGGGCTTCTCTGAATCTCTTCTCTGCTCAGCCTGTAGCTGTCTGGGATTGCTCCGACCCATGTGTAGGACCTTGCACTTGTCACGGTTAAACTTCATGAGCTTGGCATCAGCCCACCTCACGAGCGTGTCAAGCTCCCTCTGGATGGCATTCCTTCCCTCCAGCGTATCAGCTGAACCACAGAGCTTGGTGTCATCGGCAAACTTGTTGAGGGCGCACTCAATCCCACTGTCCATGTCAGCGACAAAGATGTTAAACAAGACTGGTCCCAACACTGATCCCCAAGGGACACCACTCGTAACTGGCCTCCAGCCGGACATTGAGCCATTGACCACAACTGTTTGTATGCGGCCATCCAGCCAGTTCCTTATCCACCGACTGGTCCATTCATCAAATTGATATCTCTCCAATTTAGAGACAAGAATGTCATGTGGGACACTATCGAATGCTTTACACAAGTCCAGGTAGATGACATCAACTGCTTTACCGCTGTCCATCAGTTCTGTAGCCCCATCATAGAAGGCCACCAAATTAGTCAGGCAGGATTTCCCCTTAGTGAAGCCATGCTGGCTGTCACCAAGCACCTTGTTGTTTTTCATGTGCCTTAGCATGCCTTCCAGGAGAATCTGCTCCAAGATTTTGCCAGGCACAGAGGTGAGACTGACTGGTCTGTAATTGCCTGGGTCATCCATTTTCCCCTTCTTGAAAATGGGGGTTATATTTCCCTTTTTCCAGTCATCGGGAACTTCACCTGACTGCCATGATTTTTCAAATATGATGGCCAGCGGCTTAGCAACTTCATTCGCCAGCTCCTTCAGGACCCGCGGATGGATTTCATCAGGACCCATGGACTTGTGCACGTTCAGATTTTTAAGATGGTCTCGAACCAATTCCTCTCCTACAGTGGGCCCAAGGTCTCCATTCTCACAGTCCCTGCGTCTGCCTTCCAAGACTTGGGTGGTGCGGTCAGAGCCTTTGCTAGAGAAGACCGAGGCAAAGAAGTCATTCAGAACCTCAGCCTTCTCCAAATCCTGTGTAGCTAGTTCACCCGAGAGCTTCCTGAGGGGGCCTACATTCTCCCTAATCTGTTTTTTATTTGCTATGTACCTGTAGAATCCCTTCCTGTTATCCTTAATATCCCTAGCCAAGTTTAATTCTAACTGGGCCTTAGCTTTCCTAACCTGGTCTCTAGCTTCCTGGACAACAACCCTGTACTCTTCCCAGGCTGCCTATCCTTGCTTCCACTTTCTATAAAGCTCTTTTTTCATTTGAATTTTCCTCAGGAGCTCCTTATCCATCCAAGGAGGTCTCCTGGCCCTCCTGCTGCACTTTCTTCTAGTTGGGATGCAACACTCCTGAGCTTGTAGCAGGTGATCCTTGAAGACCAACCAAGAGTCTTGAGCCCCCCTGCCCTCTAGGGCTATATCCCATGGAACCTTACTAAGCCAAAGTCTTCTTTTTTGAAGTCTAGGGCAGTGAGCTTGCTGCATGCTCTTCTCACTGTCCTAAGGATCTCAAATTCAACCATCTCGTGGTCACTGCATCCAAGGCTGCCCTGCAGCGCCACATTTCCAACGAGCCCTTCCCTGTTGGTGAGCACAAGGTCAAGCATGGCACCTCTCCTTGTCGGTTCCTCTATTACTTGCAGAAGGAAGTTGTCTTCCACACAATCGAGGAACCTCCTGGATTGCTTGTGCCCGGCCGTACCGTTATTCCAACAGATGTCAGGGTGGTTGAAGTCACCCATGAGAACAAGGGCCTGTGAGTGTGAGGCTTTTTCTATCTGCCTATGGAGTGCTTCATCCGCAGATTCCTCTTGATCAGGTGGTCTATAACAGATCCCTACACTAATGTCTCCCATCGCTGTCTTCCCTTTAACCCTAACCCACAACCTCTCTGTTATCTGCTCACCTGTCCCCAGACAGAGGTCCATACACTCCAGCCTATCCCTAACCTAAAGGGCAACTCCCCCTGGGCGCCTGCCAGGCCTGTCTTTTCTAAAGAGTCTGTAACCTTCCATTCCAACACTCCAGTCATAGGAGCCATCCCACCATGTTTCTGTGATGCCTATAATATCATACCCCCGTAGACGAGCACACATCTCTAATTCCTCTTGTTTGTTCCCCATGCTAGGGGCATTTGTATAGAGGCATCTGAGCCGAGCTCCAAAGGAAGCCGGCTCATTGGCTGGAGCAGCCAGAATATCTCTACATTGCTCCGAGCATTTATTATAGGTGCTGGCAACTGACTGGGAGTGTTGGGATGGAATGATGCCCCCCTCCCCCAACACATCTAATTTAAAGCCTCCTTAACCAGTCTGGCAAGCCTCCTACCAAAACTGCCCTTCCCCTTCTTTATCGGACCAGTTCCACCAGCCCCTGCTAGACCTGGCCTACAAACTTGGGTCCCACGTTCAAGACACCCAAACCCCTGACTGTGACACCACCCTTTTAACCATTTATTGACCTGGCTAATCCTCCTAGCTTTTTTTAGGTCCTCCCCTGTATCCTGGAGAATAGACAAAAAGACTATCTGAGCTCCAGAGCCCCTAACCACCTCTCCCAGGGCTCTGTAGTCCTTCTTTATGCTGCCCAGGCTACTACTATCTCTATCCCTAGCACCCACATGTATCACCAGAAGTGGGTAATAGTCTGTGGGGCTTACTAGAGAAGGCAGCCTCTCTGCCACATCCCTGATCCGTGCCCCTGGTAGGCAACACACCTCCCTTGAGACTGGGTCAGGCCAACAGACGAGTGCTTCTGTCCCTTTCAAAGTAGAATCCCCTACCACTAAAACTCGCCGCTTTTTCCCGGCAGCACCAGTAGAAACCTTTACTAGTGCATCAGCTGGCTGTTTCTGGCGCAAGCACGTTTCCTCAGGAGCCCCCTGCAGGACAGCAAAGCGGTTCTGCATGGTGGCAACAGGTTCAGGAGGAATTCCCTTGCTTTTAATTGTCCTTTTCCTCCTTTTTTTGTTGCTTTTTTTTGCCACCAATTCCCAGCTTTGAGAGCTAACAACCTCCTTCTTTCCTCCATGAGCTACAGGGGAAGCTTGAGAACTCTGCACAGTTTGGGCAGGGAGCAAGCATTCCTGCTTCCTCTCAGCTACCCTGACATCTTGTAGCCTATTAATAGCTTCCTGCAGCTCAGCCACCTGCTGCAGGAGGACCTCCACCAGGGAGCACCCAGTGCAGTCCTGCCCATTGCGTACCTTTCCCTCACCAGAGCAGCGCAGGCACTCTCTACACCCCGAAGTCTGCACTGCAGCCTCCCCTCTTATCGTCTCTGTCTGGGTGCTTACGGTGGCCAGAGCAGAGCTCCCAGACCGGGCCCTGGTCATGCGGTGAGTGCTCGCCACCCGCTCTGCTCGCTCGCGCTCCCTGGGGCAGGTTTTTAACCAATCAGGGCTGGCGCCGCTGCTCCTGGCTCCGCCCCCTGTGAGTCAGCTGCTCGTATCAGCTGAGCTGCCGGCTCCTGGGCAGGTCCTGTCGGGGACTTGAGGCTCCCTCGGTGGCTCTTGGCACTCTGAGTTGGGGCTCCTGGACGCTGATCTCCCCTGCTCTGGTGTTCAGGGCATAAACTCACCTCAGCAATTGACTCCACTACTTCAACAGTTAGGCAACAAATATCCATGTCAAGTAATTGCAGGTTTTGCATCTTCCTGATGTTATAGGGCAGAATGGGGTAGTGAACCCAAAAAATATTTTAAAATAACAGTTTTAAGTGGCAAAATATGTTAGTCTTCCTAACTCTTCCTGCGGAGATTAACATAAAGCTGTGGGATGGAAGTTCCCGGGGGTGCAGGAACATTCATATCTCTTAGCAATGTTGTTATTACAACTCAAATATTAATTAAGTATGAGTAGTCTTTTTATTTTCCCCACTTTATTTCTTAAAGCTACAATTGTTTTTTGCACAATTTATAGATGCTTTAGGAAATGATTCAAATTCCATATTATAATCGCTGATTACAGTTATTTTTTTCTATTTTTTTTTAAACAGATCAATATTATTACAGAGGAATACTGGTTTATGCAATGACTGTTACGATTTATGCGACGACTATTAGTTGTGTTAGGAACAGATGGCTTGCTCATGTATCAGGACTTGATTTTATACCTGGCACTCAAAAAAGGAGAATTGTGGAAAAGTGGTTCTGTCCTTAAATGAAATAAAGTAGTTACATGGATCTATAAATGTAAAAGAGCCAGAACAAGCATATGTTGTTGTATGTAATTTAAAGAGCTACTGTTAAAGAAGTTAAATCTGAGATAGATCTGGGGACATGGGAGAAATAGGATGCACATAAGAATGTCTGCAAAGACTGAGAACAGGAATGCAAGGAGAAAAGATTGTCTGTATGGTACATCTTTTTGCTAAATGGTTGCATGCAGAGAGGGCATGCCCTTGTTTATGAGTTTGTAGTAATCTGGGAACCCCAGTGCTGCACAGAAACTTTCTTCTTTTTTTTTTTTCTTAATAGATGACAGTTAACATCTAAACTGCGTATTTTCCTTTAAAACAAATGCTGCTTTCCCATGTAATAAGCCAAATAAAACAAAAGACCAAGAAGAGACTTGTTGAAGAAAAACAACAAAAAAAGTAGTTGAGATAGTTTGTTTCAGTCTTGTCAAGCTCTCTCAGCAGAAGAGCATTGCCACCACAACTTTTTAAGTAGTTGGAATATGCTTTTTAATGGAAACTGAAATATCTTATTGAAAATATGCAAATAATAATGTTTAAAAGCTGTTTGTGTTGTACCTTAAGTAAGCAGTTATTTAGATGTCTAATTTATTTCTCTATGCTCCTGTATTTGGATAACAAAAGTAATTTTATTTCTATGTTAAAGATAGAAAGGCAAGCACTTATTTCAGTGAAACCGTTTTAACAAACCCTGGGAGATGATGAAATCTAAAGACGGTGCACACCTGGAAAAAGAACAGGGTATTTTACATAATCAGTCCCTAAAATTAATTGCACAGAGACACAGATCAACAGTAAAACAAATTTTCTAGAACAGGAATTACTGCCAAGTAAATACTTCCAGATAAATGCTGTCCAAGTTAAAACTTCCTGCTTACGTTGAGTGAAAATGGAAACATTTATTAGGAGATGAGTCTGCTAACTTCTGTTATAATCTAGCTCCATTCTTGGGCACTTTCATGTACAGTGAGAGCCATTCAAAATGCCACTGCAGTTTGCCTGCAGTTTACGTGCATCAGGAAATCCAGAGATTTACTTTGTGCATCTTTATCCTGAGGAAGTATAATAATTTCTTGAAAACAATTTTTTTATTATTTTTTTTTATTTTCAGGAAGTCCAGCACAACTGTCAACTCCATAGGATATCATTTTGTGCTGATGATAAAACTGACAAGAGAATATTTACTTTCATATGCAAAGACTCAGAATCAAATAAGCATCTTTGCTATGTATTTGACAGTGAAAAGTGTGTAAGTATTCAACATGCTTTAAGAGAATTTGTGTGACTGTTACAGACTTTGATTGCTCTGCTTTGAAATAAAACAGGAATGTTTAATAAAGGCAGATAGCCTGCCTTTTGATTGGGATCACTTTGTTCTAATCTTCCATGCCATTATAATGTCTTGTTAACTTAGATGCATTTATTTAAAGGAGAGCCTTTTTTTTTCATTGATCAAAGGTGTTTTTCTGGGACAGTTCTTACTACCCAGCTCAATATCCTAGGCCAAGCATCTGCAGTGCTCTCAAGGAACAGGCTTCTTCCCTCCAAGCTTAAAATGTTTGCACAGCTGTTTTGCAGAGATTGCTGCAATCCTGTGGCTAAGATACCCTCACAGGCTCTTCTGAGATAGAACAGGGAAACTGTTCAAAAATGTGCAATAGCAGGAAAAAAAGTAGGACAGGCAATAAAGAAAATGGTGTCCAGCTGAAACAGGGTTATGTGTTTACTCTAGAAGAAAGTAATTAACAAACAGTGGAATCAGCGCCAGAACTTGATGGTTTAGAGATTTTTGTGATCTGAAGCCTCTCTTTTTGTTTTATTATGAAAGTAGCTTCATGCAAAGGAAATACTAAGGAAACTTTTTTTTTTTTTTTGAGATGCATATTCACTTCTGTTTATATGCAGTTATGTAGTATTATGTGTTACTTCACAGTTTCTCGTTATTTTGTTGTTCACCTCCATTGCTTCAGTGCCTTCAGTAGATATTGTTCATAATTCCTATATACATCTGTTAATATCTGTTAATTTCTCTGCAAATTTCTGTCCTGTTCCTCTTTGCATATATTCCCATGATTTTAAATTGCCCTTGTAGTCTCTACCCATTAGTACCATTTTTATTCCAGACCAGTGAATCGTTTCTTCTCTCTAACCTGATACTTCACTAGTTGTACTTTTTTCCTGTTTCACTCTTTGCTCATTAGTACTTTCAGATTTAAAAGAATTCCACCTCAGTTGGTACTTTTTATTTCAGCCAACTTTTGTTTGTCCTCCCAAGAAGGCAGGGCTGCATACTTCCAGTGTCCATTACACTTTACTTTTACTGACATAAACAGTTGTTCTTTAAAGCAGTACTGGTTCAGGTTTTTTGGTCTAATTGGGTAAAAAGTAATTTCTTCTGGTGTTCTTGTTTGATTTTTTTTTTTTTTAAATAAAGTTGGCTGTGTGGCTTTTTTTTTTTCCCCCAAAATAAAGATATAGAGGGGTTAGTTCCTCATTCCTGTAGAACTCAGGTCTTCACACAACTCTACTGAATGACTTTACTGTTGCACTGATGGGTGAAAGGCTGAGAGCATCATGTTTTATACCAGTTTTGTGCATCTAGCCCTTGGTGTTCTTACAGATAGTAAAGGAAAAATGTTCTTGGCATTGAGCAGAATACTCTGTTTTCATGAGAAACAATCATTTTCAGGTTTTCTTTTCAATAAAGAAGAGAAAGTTCCAGTTTTGTGTTAGCCAGATTAATGTTTTCCAGCATTTTTTGTTCCCCTGCCACATTGTTTAAAACCACAAGTTATTACTGTGTTTACTTTGTCTACTATAGTTCTAAGGCAAATGGCATAGCCATGTGTTCACCTTTTATTAGTGCCTCTTGTAAGTCAGTATTTTCTTTCTGAAACCTTTGTGTGTCCTATACTTTTATTTTTACCTCTGTTACTTTTAAAGTAGATTTTCTACACTGGTGTATATGCAGATCATAATATATTATGTGAATCAGCATAGAACTACTAAATTATTCTATTTTGCATGTATAGATTCAAATACTGTTTGGTTAGATTTTTTTATTATCAGAGATACATTTATCTACCGTATACTGTTTGAGATTTTATAGGACTTGTAAAAGTAACTTGAAATCCAGATTTAAAAGCAGTAGGGAGTGATCCATTAAAATGAAAACACAATTCCATCAAAAGTAAAACAATTTATTTAATGATTGAAAACCCTGTATTGGCTTCAGAAATAACAGAAAATAACATACTGCAGCATGCTATCTGTATTTACAGAAGCTAGAGGCATAATTTGTACTAAAAATTAGCTAATTGTGTTCTGCCTATTCAGTCTCCCTTCTTTATCTGCAGTTCTTTTAAGTTGCTTTTGTAGCATTTTCTGTCAAGTTATTTTGCTGAAGAGTGTTTGCCATGCTCCTTTGTGGTGTTGACTTCAGGTTGTATGAAGCAAACCCTTTGAACATGATATATGGTATAAAGTATTTTGTGATCATCTGAAATAAAAGTAATTATATAAAATATTATTCTTACACTAATTTCAGTCTTGTGTTTTATGTAAAGGCGGAAGAGATAACTTTAACAATTGGTCAAGCATTTGACTTAGCTTACAGGAAATTTCTGGAATCTGGAGGAAAAGATGTTGAAACAAGGAAACAAATCGCAGGTTTACAGAAAAGAGTAAGTTCTGAATTATATTTTTTAAAGAGATATAATAATATGCTACTGTATTATTTTGTTATTTGCTTTTTATGACAGCATAATTTCCAGCATTATTCTCAGATTGCTAAGAACTGCAACAGATAATAAAAAAAGAAAACTGAAAAAAGACCTGATAACTGTGAAACAGTATTTTATGTTTTGCCATCTTGCAATGTCATTAAAGAGAAAAGCAATATATAAGCATGGAAGATAGCAAGATTTAATTCTCATTTGGTAATCAAATAACTAGTTCAACACTGCTTCTGAATCACCGTATCTCAGATAAAACTTACTCTCAGTAGATGCTTTTGTGAAATGAATGACTATCCCAATACCTGCTGCAGTAACCACTTGCTTTGTAGATTCAGGAATTAGAAACTGAAAACACAGAACTGAAAAATAAAGTTCAAGATTTGGAAAACCAGTTAAGAATAACACAAGTACATGCATCTCCAGTAAGTACATGAACTTAACTGTTATATCTAAATTTATGATCATAATACAATTATTAGCATCCATGCTATTTCCAGTGATTGTGATTAACATTTCAATCATGTAACATACATGTTGAAATGCGGTACTGAAGTAACAGTAGGATTGTGACAAGCCAACAGAAATGCAAATTGCAGACTTTCAAATTGTGATTCTTTAATCCCCTTGTCATACCTATGTGTTGCTGCCTAAATCCAGCGAATGCTCATTCTAGTAGATGTCTGAGGATGAAGAACTCTGTTTTCTGCTTACAGGATCTGGTTCACAAATGCTGCTTGGGATTTTTCTAGGAATTTGTCACAAGCATAGTGTTACTTACAACTGATACAGTCTTAAGTGAGTTTTCAAAAATTTTGTCTGTCTTTCAGAAGAGTCATTAGGTATCAGGAACTAACATGGATGCGGATAGGTAGGTAAAAAGGAGCAAGTGTGGCTTCCTCATAATTGGAAATTTCTAATGCTTTCTGCAGTTCCTGCTGGTGATTGTGACAACAGTACTTTGTTAAATGATTGCCTGACAGTTTCTTGTATCTAGGTGGATAAGAAAAAATGCAGGTTTCATTGCAATCTGATCCTAATGACTCCCCTCTTCTTAGAAGTGTGTTCTATCTATGCAACATTAGGTAACTGAAACTAAATAAAATCTCTTAATGTGCATATAGAAAAATTTTAGAAAAAGATGGACTGCTTTTAAGCTGTGTATTTTGGGCCACCTTGTCCCTGCCTTGCATGTACACCATTTCACTTTAAATGGATGTTTAGAATTTTGGGCAATCTGAAAGGATGTTTATAATGGTGACAGCAATTTTTTCATGAGTGTCTATACACTCTCTTGATACTGATTAGAGGGTTGTTCCCATGAGGAGCTATAATGTTGTTTTACTAAAATCTAGAGGAGAGCACCATAAATTATAAATACTACATAACTGCCACAGTAGAAGTGTAAATTATGGTTGTCTTGTCAATTATGAAGCATTCAGTGATAGGTAGTCAACTTTAATGCTAGATTTAAAATCAATTAGTTAATTCTTTAATTTTTAATTTTCCTCAGTTGAGATGGCAGCTTGCTTGATTTTAATTATGAATACAATAACTAAATGTATCTTTGAATTCAGTTAAACAAGCTCTTAAGTCTCTTGTGATAGAAGCATTTCCTTTCATTTAAATTAAGTACTTGGTAATTACGTTTTCTGACAAAATTATTAATAATAACCTAAGATATCCCGTAGTTTGTGATTTATTTTGCTTGTTAAGACAGTATTGTCTCATTCCTTATTGAAAAGGTGAGATCAAAAATTGTAAGTTTGACAGTCATTTGTAAGTACTCTCCCTAGATGGTGTTTTATTGTTAATTACTACTGGTACAATGAATACGCATATTGCTTAAATAGCACTTATGTTACAACAAAATTATTTAATATTGAGAATTATTAATATTAAAATAATCATTATAGTAAATTACTACCAGCTGTTAGTTTTTACACATAATTTTATTGTTTTATTTCCTTCTTAATCTTTAAAAAGAAAACCACAAACATATCATGTCACAGATTTTAGTTTCCTCTTCATTAGAATTACAGGAAGAGGAATCTAACAGCCCATTTAATATCTAAATCAATTCTGCCACAAAACAGATTTATATAAATGAATAAATAATTGGTACAAGTTGCCCAATTTGTATGTACTCTTGGAGATAATCAGTTGAGCAGCCAATAATAAAACAAACAAACAAAACCAAACACATTTTTAGGGAAGTGTCTTTCTTCAATCTAGGAACAAAACTGTGTCCACCAAATGCTATCAACTTTTGTACCAAGAGACATCATTCAAGTAGGTCTGTTTTAAGCATAATTGTGTACCTTGTAAATCAGAGCTCTTAAATATGGTAGCATAAGTACATATAAATTCAGCAATTAGGTTGAAAATAAGTGAAGAAATGGGATAGGAGGTTATGAATTGACTTCAGTATAGGGAAAAGAAAGCATAAATATTTTTAAGATTTTAGTCCAATAAAGGGATCAGATGTCAAAGTGGGTGGAATAGCAGTGGATGTGATTTGATGATACCTGTCTCTTCTTTTACTATGAGCAACAAACATGTATGAAAGAAGGAAATTACAATTCATAAGACAATAGCCTATTACAGTTTGCAGTTAGGTTTTCATATTTTTAATTCAAATCAACTATAATTTCAAGAATGACATTGCAAAATACCAACTTCTATTAGAAAGAGCAGAAGTGGCACAAAGAATATTTTCTATTTCCACTAATTTCTATGATGAAAAAGATCACTTTGGTTTAAAAAAACTTATGAAAGATTTGTTTTCTGAATTTAAATTTAAAACTTTTAAGTACCATATGGCTAAAAATATCTGTAACTGCTGCTCTGAGTCTTCCTATTTTGGAAGGCAAAATTTTCCATTTTGAAAAGAAAAATAGCAGTTCTATCTTGTGATCGTTTTGTCAGAAGTAAAACTTATAAATCTGGCAATAGTATTTTGTTAAATACTGAAATAAAATAGCTTGCATTAATGAAGCAGAGTACCCAGCATCAGTAACAAGATCTCACCTGAGTCACTTCCTAAGTACTTTTGGTTAGACAGGGGAAAACTTGCTTCCCTGCAGATATTCCTTTTGTTACATACTGTGAATATAACATAGCCATTCCCATTATTTAAAGCAGATTTATTAAATGACAAATATCAGGTTTCCTCACAGCTGTCATATCCAGGCTGTTGAATTACGAAGAGATACCAATGCCATATGAGAGGTTTTTGAAACTTTTTTAGACAGAATAAGTGATTTATTTATATTTAATTAATTTGATACAGCTATTATTCTTTATCTGTCAGTTCATTTTGATGTTATTCTGTGTGCTGAGCTCTAGAGAGGGATTGTTTAGTGATTGATGGGAAGTTTAAGCCCTCATAGTTGATACCTAAATGTGATAAAAGTACATGTTCCATCATTACTAGCTTTGCAGTAATTTGTAAAGCAATAGTTTCAGGAGCCAACTACAGATGGCTATAAGGTTGCTTCTGCTTTTGCTTAAATAATACCTTGGATTTTCATATCTTACGCTTTCCTTTTTGTATTTGGTTGCTTGCATGCTGTTTGTACTTTCTTAACATTTGCCAGCTGTGCTGAAATGGCTTTCCTGTCTGTTGTTGACTGTTCTCTTCCTTTAGTGATTAATGCATGGTCACAGACACACTTGGTAATCAGCAATTGATTTAACATGTCAGAAGTCAACACTAGCAACTTGATTAAACAAGTATATGCTTAAGGAAACAGAAGATATTGCAAGGACCTGTGATAACAGTTCCCAAAACATGACAAATACAGACACAGAAATCGTATTCTGAGCTACGTCCTCTTCTTCAATTCCCCATCTCTATGGAATGGAGATCAGAGGCCATGTGGTCTAAGCAGGCACAGTGTCAGGCTGATAGTGGGTGTCTTATTTTCCTTTCCTGTGAGAGAAGACTTAGGGCTTTTAATATTTACTGCACCTGTAGTATGAAACAGTGCTGTTACAGACACCAAGTGATGTCACTGCCATGCTTTATTTGATAAAATACTTTCTAGTACAGAAAGTCTTTCCCACTTGTCAGTAACTGAAAAACCATGGTAAAATTTTTATGCAGTGCCAGTCTATCATTTATTTATTCCTGCTTCTTCCATCTGATGTTGATTGGTTTTTGTGTCTTTAATTATTTTAGACACATTAGTCTTCCCATTAATGAAGTAGGTAGAAAATACCTTCAGAAATTTGAAGTTCAGTACTTTTTGGATTATTTCACTGACCTTTGACACTGTTTTGTGTTTTATCAAAAGCCATTTCTTCTTTTTCTGACAGTAAAGCTAAAGCTAGACCATGATTTTCCCATGAACCAGGACCAGAGTGCATCTCTCTTCTCATTTCAGTGCCAAAAGGACAATAGAATCTTTAAACTGTGCATGGATAAACTTCATATGTATATAGTTTTAAATGTTTGCCTCATTGCACATTAAAAAAAAAACCACACCCTAATCTTGCCATGCTTCAGTTGTAAGTACATCCAGACTGTCATTTAAAATAAAATTATCTGACTTCCTGCTGTCATTTAAAATAGTCTTGCTAACTAAATCTGAAGACATACATAAAGGCATTTGCTGGAATTCAAGTGCAGGATTAAATGTGATACTATCAAGACTTGAAATTTAGATCATCTTTTGGTTCCAGAATGTTTTAAAAGTATTTTGTCTACAGTTTATCAGAGATGCTATTTTATATATGTGATGCTCAAGTATAAATTGGACTTAGCAGTCTGGGCTGCAATGTGTGACTTTACTGACAGATTTCTAAAAGGAGTTGGTCATGTGTTTGCATACTGAACTCTTGGGAAATAGTGTAGAACTCTTATTTGCAAAAGATAGGGCTAAAACATCTGGATTTCCTGATGTCTGACATCAAAATTTGTACAAAGACTAGTACAAATGGTGACTTGTCCAAACTCTGTAAGTGGTCTAACCAGGATAAAGAAAAGAAAATAAATCATTATCAATCTATTTTAGGTGCTTTTTCTTTTAATTCACAAACTGTATGGGAAAAATAAAATTTCTTTCTGAACCTATAAAAGAAACATTATAAAAGCAATGAGATCAAAGTTGGCAATGAAAAAAAAAGAATTCTAAGTTGTATAATCAAATACTTCTGCGTCAAAACGTATTGTTAAAGTTGAACATTAAATTATCAATCCTCTCAGTTTTTTGTCAGGGTACTGTAACTATTTAGATATAAGTTTTGTTCAGCACATTCGGTAAATAATAGACTGCTTAGTGACCACTTTCCTGCTTTTGAATAGAAGCTTTTAAGTCCGCTAGTCCTGCTAAAGCTTTAGAAAGTCCCTAAAAAGTCTGTATTTGCCAGTCCAGAAGTGTTATGCAACAGAAACTGCCACTTTTCTTCTTTTCTTAAATAG